AATTGCATAAGAGCAGACTACAGTGGAATAAGGTGGAAAATATTTAATGTTCTAAAAGACAGATAGTTTCATATATAACAGTCCTTCCTATAAATATGGGCAAAATTATTTTAGCTGTGATTTTAAAAAATTGCAAAAGTTACCAGTTGCCTAACTTAGTGGGAGAGCTAAATGAAAGTGGTAAAAGCATTATTAAGTGGTAAGATGTGTTTCTTATCAGATTAAAGTTAGAAATAGAATTGATGTATGTTGCTGTCAATATCAATGACACTACTTTGCAGGCTCTCAATGAACAATTACACTAGATATTACCAAATTCTACACATTTATTACCACATTATTGCCTTTTATTATGAGATAGAAGACCCAATATCGAAGCCCAATATGAGTGTTCATGTATTTGACTTGGCAAGCATCTTATTCTAGTTGAGCTTAAGTAGTTGTGCACACCAACTACCGAGCTCATTAATAATTTAAATGAATTTTTATGAGATTTAAGTGAGGCATTATCATAGAAAAATCATTGTTAAACATCATGTTTTATGAAACTGTGGTCAATAATAATAATTTCAATTGAAGTTAGAATGATTATAATGTTTTGCTAGCCAGTGATCAATTCCTATACAAGTATCATCCTTTCTAGTACGAAAAACACAACACAGAGAAAACTTCAAACTGTAAAATGAGTAGCAAGATAAATTACTGAAAATCAGCATTAATGCATTACTATGATAAAAACCACAAATATATGTATTCATTAATACATATATGTATACACATGTACAAATATATATCAATACATATATTTTATATTATATGCCTCTCTATATAGATGTATATATTAATTAATACACATATATGTATATATTCATACTCAAGAGGCTAACTTCAGGAGTGCAATTACAGATTTAATTTTTTTGGGCAAGCCACAACTTTAGTTTTCACGTTTCTAAAATAATTGAAATACATGTCCTTAAATATCTCCTAATGTCTCACAGTCTTTTAGTGCAAAATATCCCCTTAATGTCTCACAACTTTTCAGTGCAAAATATAAATTCTTAACCATCTTTTGTTGTGTGTGAGGATTGTGCATAATGTACTTACATAATGTTTATTAAGTCATAATAAATGTATTATTATGAATTAATTATGAATTTATTAATTCATAATAAAATAAATATTTATTTATTTATTTTGAGACAGACTCTTCCTCTGTTGCCCAGGCTGGAGTGCAGTGGCATGATCTCAGCTCACTGCAATCTCTGCCTCCCGGGTCCCAGTGACTCTTCTGCCTTAGCCTCTCAGTAACTGGGGTTAAAAATGCACGCCACCACACCTGGCTAATTTTTGTATTTTTAGTGGAGACAGGTTTCACCATATTGGCCAGGCTGGTCTCGAACTCCTGACCCCATATGATCCACCTCCCCCAGCCTCTCAACGTGTTGGGATTACAGGCATGAGCCACCGTGCCCAGCTATTTAAATGATGTTTAAATTATCAATACTTTCTTGATCACCTACATGTAAAGTAGAGGGCTGTGTGTCATGAGGGACATAGAGGTAAGTTACCTATTCTCATCAAGAAAGACAGACATTTGGACAAGCTGTGGTAATATTACGATTACAGCTAAGGGTAGAGGAAAATCCTACTGTAAGCAGTTCAGGGATGGGTAAGAATGAAAGATGTGAAAGATTTCCACTGATAAAAAAAAGATATAGGGATTCCAAGCAGCAAACTATCATGAGCAAAAACATGAAGATGTGATAGTGAATGGTGAAAAACAGTTTGGCAGGATAAAACAAGTGAACGGGAAATTACAAAAAAAAAGAAAATATAATTTATATAAATATAAATTTATTGCAAACAGAAATTAGGCAATAAAATAATAAGTGATCAGAACTTTGGATGTGTTTTACAAAATTGATGTGTGGGAAGAAGGAAAGATGTATTGATCTGAATAGATTATGTATTTAGGAATATGTAAGATGAGCTTATATCCATTTGTATTAGATAACCAGAAAGATGGAAAGATAGTCTAGATTTGGATCTTTTAAATATTAAATAGATAAGATGGGGAGGTATTTCAAATGTAACCAAAACATATCAAGCAAAAATTAAAGTAATTTAGAAAGAAACACTGCTGAATGAGTCATAAGTAAAAATGTATGGAACTATCCAAAAATATCTAGGTAACGATGTATAATTTTTCTCAAAAACCCCCAGATAGGCCAAAAATAAAAATATGTTACATTAAATTAAGTAAGTGTTCTAGGAAAATATGGTAAGACAAAGATGACATAATGCCCCCCCTCCAAGACCTTGAAACTATACATATTTCCCCCAAAAGTACACATCATTAGGGCAAGAATTATATCCTCAAAAAAAATCAAGCATTTATTTTGACTTACTTTTATGAAATGCACTACACGGTATTCATATAGTGATAGCAGTTTAGAAAAAAGTCTACTTCCTAGAATAATTTCAGCCAATAAATTTCAGAAGGACTAAAATATAAGAACAGCATTAGAAAACCCTTATTCTGCAATGAAAGGTACATTTACAATGTAAGGACCTGGCTGTCACCACTTTAATCCACTGATCAATCACAGAAGCACCTGTTAAAGTGGCAGGTCTAGTGTCTTCAGATATGATGCAGTATCAAGTAGTCAGTATACCCTACTGTGTGTTCTTAGCAAGAAAGCTGAATTTAATCAAATCTCTAGACATAAATTCCAATTAATTAGAAATACAGGGAGACAAGTTTGAAAACTTGTACAATAAAAAGTCTTCTAAAGTATACAACATTGCATGGGGAGCTACCAGAATTGTATCTTGGCTGGATTATAGGATCTCTGGAGAGACATAGAGGCTGAAAATGGAAGGTGTGGTAAGTTCATGGCATTCATTAAATGTTGTATCAAGGAATTCAGATTTTATTCTAAAGCCAGCATTTCTCATAACGTTCTGGAACATTGATGTATATTCTTCACTTTAAAAAGGGTAGAATGGGTATTCCCTTTTAAAATAAGTGTAGAAAACATGTTCCTTTTAATTAATTAAATATTAATAGTGTTCATGGCCTGGTGTAGTGGTGCATGGCTGTAATCACTGCAATTTGAAAGGCTGAAGCAGGAAGACTGCTTGAGGCCAAGAGTTCAAGACCAGCTAGGCAATACAGCAAGACCCTGTCTCTATTAAAAATAAAAAATTCGAGGCTGGGCACAATGGCTCATATCTGTAATCCCAGCACACTGGGAGACCAAAGAAGGCAAATTGTTTGATCCCAGTTGTTTGAGATCAATACAGGAAGACCTCATCTCTACAAAAAATCAAAAGAACTATCCAAGAAGTGTGGTGCACACCTGTAGCACCAGCTACTCGGGAGGCTGTGGTGGGAGAATCACCTGAGCCATGGAAGTCGAGGCTGCAGTCAGCCATGACTGTGCCACTGCACTCTAGCCTGGGTGACAGAATGAAACTCTGTCTAAAAAAAGAAATAAAAGATAGCTAGGCATGCTGGCACAGGCCTGTAGTCCTAGCTACTCAGGAGGCTGAGGAAAGAGGATCATTTGAGCCTCGGAGCTAAGATCAATCATGCAACTGCACTTCAGCCATCACAACAGACTGAGACACTGTCTCAACAAGTAATAATAATAATGATGATGTGCACTAGCACCCTGATGTAGAAATACCTATTGAAATTTAACACAACATTTCTAACTTGCAGATATATAGAGAGACAATTACTTTAGATATATATGTAACATATATCCATATAGACAAGTATTTTCTGTATATATCTTACATATCTATATATAGAATTTATAGATATAAATCTATATACTTTATATATTATATATATTTGTATATATCTATATATAACATATATATCTATATAGAAAGTATTTGTCAATATAGATATCTATGTAGAAATGTATCTATATCTTATAGATATATTTAGATATATCTTATTTAGATACATTAGATATCTCTTATTTAGATATATATCTAAATATATAATATATATCTATAATATACTTATATATATAAAGAATATATCTAAATATATCTATAATATATATCTATAATGTATTTAGATATATAAAGATATATAGATGATGTACATTAGCACCCTGTTGTAAAAATACCTATCGAAATTTAATACAGCACTAATAACTATATATAGATATAGATCTACTTAGATACATCTATATATAGATGTAGATCTATATCTTATAGATCTATATCTATATAGAAAGTATTTTCGATATAATAGAAACTTACTGCACAGATTTTAGAAGCAGCACAACAGAACCCTTAGGCAACTATACTAAAGTTTCTAGCTCAGGTGAGTGGGATGTTGGCAATGGCACTGTTAGAAAGTAACTGTGCAGCCATAAAAAACCATGAGTTCGTGTCCTTTGTAGGGACATGGATGAACCTGGAAATCATCATTCTCAGCAAACTGACGCAAGAACAGAAAATCAAACACCTCATGTTCTCACTTACAGGTGGGTGTTGAACAATGAGAACACATGGACACAGAGAGGGAAGCATCACACACTGAGGTCTGCGGCAGGGAACTAGGGGAGAGACAGCAGGGGAGGGATGGGGAGTTAGGGAGGGATAACATGGGGAGAAATGCCAGATATAGGTGATGGGGAGTAAGGCAGCAAACCACATTGCCATGTATGTACCTATGCAACAATCCTGCATGTTCTTCACATGTACCCCCAAACCTAAAAAGCAATAAAATATATATTAAAAAAAGAAAGAAAGAAAGTAACTGGGGTGGTAGAAAAGAATACCCCTGCAGTAGATACCCAGATTTCTGCGATCAAAGAATACACATACCTAATATATAATATTTTTTACATAAAATCCAGACATCATCGTGGCCAAAATACAAAGCAAGCCTTAAGAAATAAATCTTACCTGTGGACATTTAATTTTTTTTCTTTTAATTTTATTTCCCTTAAGTCAGTCCCTAGTTTACTTACCCACAAGGCCTATGGGTGAACACAATGTAACTCTCTTCATCACTTCTTTCTATGAAAGTCATGCATGTGTGCTTTTCCCAGTGCCTCATGGCCTGCTTGAACATGGCTTGCTGGCTGCCTGAAAAAAATGTGTGATGTTAATAAAACAGTGGCTGCCCCAGAAAGAATGCTCCTTGCTGGGTCCTCTACCCTAAGTCTGGCTGAGCAGTGCAGAATGCCACCACTATCATCAGTCAAAGAATACTAGTTTATGGCACCACAAATGAGTCATTGTTAAGAACAGACACTCACTTTATAATCAGAGGGCTAAAGCTTACTATCTCTACAAATATGTGTTTACAAGGCTCTATAAATGAAACATACATTCTTCCTGTCAGTTGAAGAGAGATCAACTTCCAAATTTAATAGGCACATCTGCAACGCTGTTCAAAAACCAGAACAGTGCTTTAAACTCTTAGAACACAAGACTAAAGATATTTTTTCAGTTTCAAAGACACTCTACACTAATAACCTAAGTTAATGCAGTATTTTCCAACCTTGGCTTAATACTGTGTATCCTATTCTATAAAAATAGACACTTAATCTGTGTGAAAGTTTTTATTTCTTTATCAAAGCAGACACTCTGGGAGTGTCTTACCAGTGAAGTTGCCTCCTATAACATAAGGAATAACGCCTCCAGGCCATATTCTTTCCGATCTTGATGTAGCGGCTCTGGGAACTCGATTTTTCTCATTTTGTCCTGAGAACTGTAGGGGTACTTTTCCCTTAACTGTGTTATTTTGCTCCAAGCCTGCAGTGACATTTAAAACATTCTGTGAAACAGAAGTTCTTGGTCAGCGAATCATTTACCTCTTAAAGGACAAAAGTTAAAATGTCTTATTTACATATTTTTTGTATAAATGCTGAAAGTCAAAATGCATTAAAGAAAAACTTCAGTTATATGATATACTGGGAAAAAAAGCACTAAAATATGTAAATATTTCATGTCAAAATACAATTTCCTCATATTCTGTGAGTATTTTGTTGATTTTTTTATTAATATCCATACAACAGACTAAGTGGATAGAAGTCAGGCAGGCTCACAGGCCATAAAAAATCTGTTTTCTGTTTCCTGTCTTGCTAGCTCACTAACAATTCACCAAAAGTTAGAACAGATTTTGTTTAATAAAGTCTCATGATATTTAAGATTCTTGTTATTCCTGCCAGTCCCTAATCCTTCAAATCTAAACTGATATTCTATAGCACAGCCTAAAATTATGAATATTACATTATACAGATAGTAAATGAAGTAACATTAAGACAGACATGGTCTCAGCCACCTGTACCAAAAGCTATCTCCATTCCAGTTTCTTCAGGATTCAGATTAAGGTCTGCAGCGGGATTTAGAGGTCAGCACGCAACATGAACAAAATGCATTCTATTCTGGAGCAGCTTTCAAGTCTACAGCCTTTTCCTTTTCTTGGTGGCCTTTCATGATATTTTTGTTGCTGTTTTTCCTAAATTTATGTGATTATTCTTTCTCATCTGTCACTGTCAATATGAATATCCTACCACTGGTATATACTTTGACACAACAACTAGGGACTCTGTCCCTAACATATCTGTCTTTTCAATAGCCTGGAGCAAAGTGTCTTTGCTTGGGAAAATTATTCCTTGGAAGTATGTACTTGGAGCATTATTTAATAATCCATCAATTTAAGGAGTGTTAGAATATGAGCTATGCACATGGGACTTTTAAAAACTTCTAAAATCTACAAATAGCTTATAATACATTCAATACTGTAAATATTAACTAATTATAAACCAGAGATAGTTTTTCTGAATGTTTGTATATGTTTATATATATATAAACACACATATAAAAATATATATTAATAAACATATAAATATATGATTTATATATATATAAATGATTATAAATAGTTTTATAAATAGTTGTATATCATAGTTATATACATTTATAACTATTTTATATTTTTTTGATTGGTCAAAAACATTTTAACTTTTTTAATCCAGTAATTAGTTTTTTCATTTTACTTTAAGTAGATTTTATTTCAAAACAAATAACCATGATATTTTTTCATTTGATTACAATTGATGCAACTCCAGGGTTTCTAAAAATACCTTGGTGTGATGCCCAATTGACTGGATATAAGCATTAATAATAAAATAATCACCTTATATATGTTTTAACAAAGAGAGGCTTAAAACAAAGAAATATTTCAAATTATTCCAAATGATTTCTAAAGGGCTTTGATTAAATATGAGCTAACAAAATAAAATTTTTTAGAATATATCCCTTACATAGTTCACATAATAATGGCACACTGATTTTAATAAACTGAACTGCTATGAGTATACTATTTACTGTACATCAAGTCAAGTGTTTGCAACTTTAAACATTGATATACCAAAGCCAATTCTTCTTATCTTCTCTATAAGTTGATAGAGGGCCCCTCGCTTCTTTGACATAGCATGGTCTCCAAGTCCACCTTAAAGAATAAAAGGTAACAATTAGGTTAAACTCAAAATATGTTAAAATTATTGCAAATAAAAAATAGTCATAGGCAACATTGATTTCTCTTTGGCCATTTTTATGTGGTCTTAAAGTGTTAAAATTATGAATATCCATGAATCTTTGAAGAGGGTAAAAATTCTACAGCAACCAGTGTTGGTAACTAAAATAAGGGGATGGGGAGACTCAGAGAGCAATTTAAATGACTTTATTTGGACATCATGACAATTGAGTCATCTATTGATAATTTGAAACATTTTTCTTTACTGTGACCTTGACATCACATAGTGTTATATAGAATGGCAGCAAGTTGCTCTGCCTGTTGATTGCATGCCAGCTATTTCCCCAATGCAAACTGAATATTTTCAGAGGCCAAATAAGCAAATGGAAATAAAAACATTAAAAGAGCAAGTGTGTAGTGCAAGTTTTCCTCCAAAGCTTCCATTGATTTCAAAAACTTTTTAAAATCTTATGACATTTTGAAAATCTAGTTGAATTTATAAAACTCAATAACACAATTTGGAAAAAGCCACAAGAATCCAAACGAATGTTCAGCTGCAAAATATATTCTGTTACACTGTGTAATTTGAAAAATTTATAAAAGACAGAGTGTAAAAAAAGTCTGTAGTGCAAAAGGAATAAGAAAGGGTAGAAATAAGGCAATATGTGTTCTTGCAATTTTACCAACAAAACCTAGAAAAGGTAGATTCCTGTCTTAAGTCAGAAAGCAGAGTATTTCTCCAGATTATCATTCAGGGCCTTTATAAAATGCTGCTCTCAGTTTTGTCACCTATTTTCTCTGTTCTCCTTGAATTTTTATTAGACAAATAAGAAAGAGTTATCATTGAACAAACAACCAATATAACCACTAATGACATGTTAAAAAGTGCCTATGAATTTGTACTAACACGGAGTGCGTATGGTTCATAGAGTATCTTTGGGCTAAGGTAAAGAAAGCAGTAATTTCATAAGAAAACAAACTATTCACAAATCACTTGAATAGATCCCCCCAGTATCTATTTTTTATTTAAAATTAATACTGAACATAATTACCTAGATAGAAACTAAAAATAATAATAAAATCTATAGCCATATAAGTCTCTTAAAAGAAAAATCAAATAAGTCCTTATAAGGCAAATAAGTTAGAATGCTTTTTCACTGACTAATAATCTACTTAATTGCTTGCATTACATGGCCACATTTTTGCCATGCATCTTGAGAAACATTTTTGAAATTTTTTCATTGCACATTTTAGAAAGATGAGGTAATACTTAAATACATTCATTCCTAAGCAATGAAGAAAAACATTTTCAAAGCATGGCATCTATGATGTTTGAAATGACCATTACGTAACAACTATATTTATATTACATTGTTTGAAATTCAACTGAATAGTGTAAGTTACTATCGAACTTTCAAACATGTGCCTTCGACAGAAGAATTTCAAATTTTTTTTTTTTTTTTTGAGAAGGAGTTTCTCTCTTGTTGCCCATGCTGGAGTGCAATGGCACGATCTCTGTTCACCACAACCTCTGCCCACCCCGGGTTCAAGTGATTCTCTTGCCTCAGCCTCCTGACTAGCTGAGATTACAAGCATGTGCCAACACACCTGGCTAATTTTGTATTTTTAGCATAGACAGGGTTTTTCCATGTTGGTCAGGCTGGTCTTGAACTCCCAACCTCAGGTGATTGCCCACCTCGGCTTCCCAAAGTGCAGGGATTACAGGTGTGAGCCACTGCACCCAGACAGAATAAATGTCTTTATTATTATCAGTATAATCTGTTTTATTCTATGTCTAAAATAACATTTTTTCTTCCAATTGTTACAGTCTCTGAGTTTAACAATAAATAAAATTAAAGAACAATATTAAAAAATTTTTAAATCATAGAGAATTGATGCCTTCAAAATAATTGGAGAAGGCAGGTCAAAGAAATGATTTAAAGCTTAGAGCTAATGAAAATTTTAAAAGAAGTTGGAAATGAAACTTATGATAAACCTAGCAGTTTATTGTTATATCATTGCTCTGCTTTCCAGAATATGTTGCCTCCATGACAGCATTACAGGTGATAGATACAGCAACTGAATATTTTGGCAATGAACATAATCTACAGGATACACTATCTGTGATGACACTATGCAGCAAGATTAGCCCCCGTATTGATATATGTTTCAGAAAATATTGTCACTATGCATAACAAACAACAAAGCACACTATCTTTAAATAGTATGTGTTATTATTTTAGATGGATTTCTTAGGCTTTCTCTTATATACCTACAATTTTAAATACATGATCATGGTTTTTGATTATATAGAATAATATCCTTATTCTTACAAAGTGCATGCTAGACTACCTAATGATATTACGGTGTTGTGTTTCCTGCAATTGACTTCAAATTTTGTTTTAAGCACACTTATGCATGTATGCACACACACACACATACACACACATGCTCAGTGAAAATAATAAACTATTAAAAACTGCTGAATCTAAGAAGTAAGAGTACCACTATTCTACAATCTAAGGAGGTAGAAATATTTCTATATATTTAAAACTGGTCATAGAAAAGAGTTGCAAAAAATAAATAAATAAATAAATCGGGCAAAGTAAAAAGTCACAGTAAAAAGTCTTAAGTCCTTAATATATATTTATGTTAGATACCAGAAAGGACTACATATGGTATTTTCCACAGAATAGAAGAAAATAAAAATACTAAAAAGCGAGAATGCAATGAAATCAAAAGCATGACATGAAATAAAAGTTTTAGCTGTTAATATAATTACAAAAAAATTTTAACTTTCTAACCTCGCAATTCTCTCCAAAATAGTATACAGAGTAAAAATTTTTCCAAGATACAATAATGAATTTTTTAATTTTAAATTAAAAAATTTTTAAATGAGAACTGAAATAATCTTTTACGTATATCAAGTTTCATACAGGCAGAATGTAAACATGTTCAAATCAACTAAAATTAAAATTGCCTTCTGGGGTTTTCAAAAAAATTATATATATATATATATATATATATATATATAAATTTTCCAAATATGTTTCTATATAATTTCTCTACGAATAATTCATATTTTGCAACTCAATAACCAAATGACAGGCAACTTAATATAATACTAAAGAGGATGAAATCTAGCTTTTCTCAGAATTGAATTCCGATTCTGACATGGCCACTTCCTGATGATGTGACAATAAGAAAGCTATATAGTCTTCTAAATCTCAATCTGCTAAATTCTAAAATCATAGTAATATTAGTAGCTACCCTGATGGGGTTGTTATGAAGATTCAGAGAGTTAATATCTGCAAAGCACTTAAACCAGACCTAGTATGTAGCAAATACTACAACATGTTTGGTAAAAAATAATAATAATAATAATTAATAAAATTAAAACTGTGAATAAAACCTGCATTTCTAAATATGTATATTTGTGTATAGGAAGTCAAAAGTTGATTAACAGGAGACTAAAAATGATCCAAATATATTTATAGCATTTCAAGAGTATATTTACCCCAAAATGAAGACAAATTTTCTTAAACAATCAACCATACCTGTGGTATGTCCAAGGTTTCCAAAGGGGTTCTGAGTAAGGTCAATTGTGCTATCTATTTGAAAGATATTTAAGTCTTCATCATCTAAGGCAATATCACCCCAAAATATAGCTAAAAAAGAAAAGTTGAATTAAAATGTAAAATATTTCAGTGAAATCAATACCAACAAGCTAATTAGAAAAACATTGTTAAAAATATAGAAACATGGTCTAGATAGAGACAGGTCTTTCAGAAAGTAATCATAGCTGAATGTGTTGGACCTGTTACAGGACAAATGTTAGCCACCTGTAAAAGGCAATGACTCCATTTTTTTACACTGTTGTTTGGGAAGGAGGAAAAATAGTTTCCTTGAATAAGAAGGTTACTGATTTATGGGGATTCTAAAGAAGGAAATAAGCAATCATGAGCTAATTTGCAAATATGTGAAAATCTGATAAGAATGACTACATTTTCTGTGGATTCTTGTGCCCAGCAGCAGGTCTTCACTGAGAGGAAAAAGAAAAGGTAGTAACAAATAAACCATATGATATTTTATAAACTAAGTTAATTTTATAATGCAAGGTACAATCAAGACAAAAGAATATTGTACTATTGTAGCAATTCATTCACCACATTTCATACATTTTATAATACACTTTATCTAAAAGGGCATTGCCTCTGAGTCTCTGTAAAATGGATATATAAGTATCAAAAGTAATACTTAAGTCAGCATTTATTTAGGCAACAACTAGATGCCAGACTTTTGATCTTTAATGACCAATATAACATGGTCCACATTTTCAAGAGGCTCCAAGTCATTACCCTAAAACCTAAAAACACTCTCATTCTGTCTTTGTTTTCTTCTTTTTGAGTCAGGGTCTCTCTGTCACCAGGTCGGAGTGCAGTGGCGCGATCACGGCTCACTATAGCCTCAACTTCAACCACCCAGGCTCAAGTGCTCCTCCTACCTCAGCTTCCCAAGTAGCTGCGACTACAGACACACTCCACTGAGCTGGGCTCATTTTTGTAACGCATGCTAATTTTTGTATTTTTTGTGCAGAAAGTGTTTTGCCATGTTTCCCATGCTGGTAATGAACTCCTGGCCTCAAGCAATACTCCTGCCTCAGCTTCCCAAAATGCTGGCATTACAGGAGTGAGCAACTGAGTACATTCTGACTCTATCTTTTATGCCTACTCTTTTATGCTACTTAATAAAGCAAAACTCTATAAACCATTGTGAAACCCCATGGGAGAGTTCATTGATAACCAGTATGTAAATTTCTCTTTTCAGGTTAGTCATGTACATTAGTGAGACAATAAAAGAGCCTCCCTGTTTGAGTACAAAGTAAACCAACCAATCCCTTAGTACTGCCAGAATCAAAGCACAGTAACTTCAGGAAGCACAGAAAACTTGAGAAATAATAAATTAATCATGAAGCACACTGAAAAATGCCTAGAAATACAGGGATATTTGTTCTTTTCAGGTTTACCAATTTTCTTTACTTTTTAACTTTCTTCAGATTTTATTTCCTGTGAAACCAAAACGAAAAGAAAGAAAATACATTACAATTTAGAAAGTGACAAAATCTATGCTTTTCAAATTACTGTATTTCATTGGATTTAAATATTAATATTTATGAAGTTTACCAGCATAGAGAATTAGTTATTTATGAAGTTTAAATCAGCTTATTTATGAAGTTTAAACTTCAGTCCTAAAATCTATGCAATGCTTTAGGCTTTGATCAAAGGCTTATCATATAAAATTATTCATCCAGTGCAAAACTGACATGAGATAATAAGGAGGGGGTTAGATTTATGTGTAAGTCGAGAAATGAAGAAAATAGAAATTAGTACAACGTAGGTTATCACTTCAACATATGGAAAAATCTTTATTATAATTAGATTTCTCTCTTAAACTCCTCACTGCCCCTATCGCCAATAGAAAGACAGTCTAAAGAAGCAAACAGATGCTTACTATTGTTCACTATCATAGCAGCAAAGCCACAAAGATTGTACAGAATAGTTTATAACACTAGCTAAGAGGGTGGTTTTGATGCCTGAAATTGAATCCAGATTCTAATCAGCTTTGTACAGATGCAACAGAAAACACCAATGCTCCAGTGTCCCTAAAGCCAGACCTCCCAAGAAACTTACCCAAGTTAAATATTTTACCAATTATAATATAAGACTTCGGTTTTCATAAAAATAAATGTTACACTTTTTTAGATTGTAAGGTAAATCGAAGTTGACTAGTTATTTGAAACTTCCATCAGGTGCATTTATGATGCAAAAAGCTGCAAGCCTCCACTGGCAGGGACTTTCAGCCTGTCTTTTCCTTTCTTACTGCTGATAGAGTGTGGTGACGACTAGACGCTGAAGCAGTGCTTCACTAACTTTACTTTGCTTAGGAATCATAGTGAATCCAGCCAAAATGCAGACTCTGATTTGATAGGTCTGGAGAGGCGCCTCAGATTCTACATTTCTAACAAGCTCCCAATCACTTCAAATAATTGCCGTTGTCATCTTTATTAGTATTAATTTTGTTCTGCAAGAATAAATTCTCACTCTTCTTTGAGTCAGCAAAATCAAGGCACTCAACCAAGCAAAATGTACTTCATCAATACTACATTTCAAATAAAAGCAGAACACATAAAACAAAATTTAAATTTTTATTTTCTTGTAATGGCTTTTTATATGCAGTAGGATTCATGTCTTGATGGATTATATCAAACACAGATCAACAGTCCAAGGATGAATCACTTCGCAGAAGCAAAAACATTACTTCTAGAGAGAAGAAAAGGCACCAGGCCAGATGATACTTAAAAGGAGAAAAAAAAAACAGTTCCAGAGGACATAAGCCCATTTATTTATTGTTATTTTTTCTAACCTAATAACTTTTCAGAGTAGTTTGGCAGTTCTGAATACACCATAAGTTGCTTCAGGAGAAAACCAAATATTTCTTTGAAAGAAAGCAATAGTGAGTGACTAAGCCAATTCATTTAGGGCCAGACTTGATGCACTGTCACCCATATACATCTTTAAATCTTGATATGCTCAACAGAAAAAAGACATGTTAGAATTTTCAACCTGTCACATAGCTTTAAATGCATTTCTTCTTTATATTGCACACATTTAAAGATTTCCTTAATTCATCTTCTATTTAAATCTATGTCCTATTTCTGTATTCTAAAATATTTTACTTATGCATTGGTACAGTAAGTTGGACCATGGCAAATTATACTTATATGCATTAGGATTTGCATTATATTTAATATATATTTGATATTTAGGTGCAAAAATACATATGAAATTCTCAAATCCACTTTGGAATTTTGTTTTCATTTTTATGTGGTATTTAGTATTTATTTTACCTCAAAAAACAAAATTGGAGAGAAACAGTCTTAAAAGTATGAATTATCATTTATTTGGCTCATTTAATACATGATTTGAGGTTAGTGAGATCAGAACTAAAAAAAAAATGGGAAATTGGTTATTGGGATGATACTAGGAAAATGTTCAAATGGAATTAGAATATTTACTATGTGTTTGGAATTCTGCTTGGATTCTTATGGTCAAATAGGGGGTTGGAGCTAACCAATAGGCCAAAATTAAATGTCAGAGAGAACAATTTTTAAGCTACATGGAAAACCACAGGTTTCGTTTTTCCCCTAAAGGTTATTTGCCTTCAATGCACAACAAACATTTTTTTTTTAATCAGAGACTAAAGCAGACAAAGTATTTTTATTGTAATATGCAGAATAAGTGCTTTTTATAAAATAATGTATTCTGAGAATAAGCAATTCAAGATTGTGATTCCATACACCTTAACTTTAAAAAATGCCACTCCCACCCATGTCCCCAATTCCTCAGTGAGCTTTACTTCTTTGGTCTGAAGCTGAGGCCATCAGCTTTAAGGAGGCTTTAAGTTTGTGATTTCTGAAAAGCTACATGCAAAAATATGTATGAATTTATAAACACAAACACCACATATTTTTCTGGGAAAAGTCCTCGGTAGATTGTTAAAAGGGGTCGGTCACACAGTAAAAAACCACTAATGTTGCCAAGGGTGAAGACTTTCTGTCCACTCAGGAGAAAATACTTGGAAACTAAATACCCTGAAGAAAATGAATACATTTATCTGAATTAACATTAAGATATCTGATAGTTGGTTGCCAGTCCAGAGCACAATGACAAGAAAATTGAGTCTCGTTAGGCCTTGCCAGAACACCTCTTCAGAAACCTGCTCTTCCCATTTGACCTAATTAAGTATCTGTACTTCCATGTTCTGACTGGGCTTCTGTCATGTTAAGGTCTGACACGGGATTTCATAATTGTTTTCAATCATCTGCTTCCTCAATCTAATTTTGAAAATACTGACAACAGGAAGCATGTATTACTCACCTTAAAATCCTCAATGTCATAGTACCAGAAATAAGTAGGTTTTCAATTTACATATTCACAAAAATGTGAATGAGAATATACCATGAATTGGAGAATAAGTTGTGTGTAACAAAGGAGTCCATATAAGAATTTATGAAGCTAGATGTGCTACCTATTTGAGAAATTTTCCTTAAGAACCAAAATACTAGATATTTTACTGTTTCAAGGATAAATATTTCCAAGGCCTTCAATCTCTACTGGATTACTCTTATAAACATTTTTAAAGCAATTAAAAGAACCCTGCCTTTCTTTTTTATTTTAGTAGTATATATTATTAAATGTAATTATGGGAAATGTGCCCCTTTTCTTCAAACACCATACTTACATGCTCAGGAAATACATGATTGAGCTAGAAGATTAGTTATCTTGAGATTTATGGGATTGGAGGAGATAGCTCAAAGATTCAACAATAGCCAAGAGCATTTGTTCATTATACTTTTTCCATATACAGTTTAAGCTTTCTGCTTTTATTGATAGTGGATTTAGGGAGGAGAGATGATGTCATGTGAAGCTCTGAGAAGGCTGCTTTAACTGTTCTTGCTCACAATGAAGGCATAATGAAAATTTTCTCAGGCAAAGGCAACAGTAAAGTCTCAAAAGTCAACTATTTTTACATGATTGACAACCACTGAGCAAATTCCCGAGGAAAAGTAAGACTTGATGAAAGTTCTAAGATATACATGTTAGCTAAT